GGGGCTCAAGCCACCCCTGGAAACACAGCTCTAGGTGGGTGGGGCAGACCCCAACGCACCAAAGGATGTGGCCAGTAGCCCCCACCAAGTCAGAGCAGCATGCACTCCTGCATCGGCAACCAGCCCACACAAACTCGCCAGGAAAGCCCCAGCTGAATCACACAGGTGCACAGCTCATGGCCCTACACTCCCAGGAAAGTTCCCAGTCTCAGCCTGTCCCAATCAGCTGCTTGCAGATCAAGCTGAGCAGCCCGACAGCCAATCGCCACCCAGGCAACTCTGCATGCACAGTGTGGAAAGCGGGGACCTAAGGCGAGTCGCACACTCCCGGGTCTCAATAAGCAGTCTGTTGGAGTCAGAGCGTGCCTCCCAGGTATTTCCCTGGCTACACAGCACAAGCATTGTGGAGGGTGGGGATCCAAAGATGCATGCCCCCCCCCACACACACACTCCTACGCCTATTCCAGCAGACCCATGGGGTCCCAGACCTGATCTTCTGTGGGAGGGCCCATCCCTGAAAAAATGGCGCCCTCCTGTGCACTACTGGTGTACAAGCTCCACACCAGGGTAATAATGGTCCCAAAACCTCCAGCTCCTGCACCAACGGCACTCAGTTCAGTCTTTCCCACAGGCTCCTGGGCCCTGCTTACGCAGCTACTCCCTCCACTAGGAGCTGGGTGAGTGCTCACCAGCGAGTGAGTCCATTTGCTGGCTCCAGTGGTTCTCCAGCTGCCTTTAGCCTCACCAAGTTGAGCAAAGAGAGTCCTCGCTATTTTCTACTTCCAGCTATTGTAGAACTCCTCTTCCCGGCAAAGTAACTCTGGGCTGGTGGGCACGGTGTGGGGCCAGGCAGTCTCTCCCCCAACCGGAGAAGCCTCCCCACCACTGAGGTGTCCCTCACAGGGTTCGCCCTCTCTCATCTCTGCCCCTCCTACCAGACTCAACGTGGCCTCCTCTTTAAGTCTTTTGTTTAGAGGTTCTGTTCATCTAGTGTTCAGGGAACTTCCGAGGTTGAATATCTCATAAATTGTTTGTAATTTTGGTGTGATCCTGGGAGGCAGTTGGCACATCATCTGTCTGTTCCACCATTTTACCACAGGAAACACTTCTACTATTTTTAATATTTATTTTTTTACAGTTAAGTGATAGGGAAAGTGGGATGGGAACAAGCCGTAGAAGTTAAAATTGGAAGCTATTTGGTGAAGTTTACAGTACAGGCTGATTGGTGGCCAGGGGGCCACAAAAAGTTGCATTCATCAACCTTGCTAATTTCATATTTGTTAAAGTGATTATTGATAAGTACATAGTTAGTGCCATTATATTAGTCATATTTTTTATCTTCGTTATTTTCTTTGTTTTCTCTTTTCTTCTGCTTGAAAAAGTCTTTTTAATATTTCCTATAATACTGGCTTGGTGGCAATGAATTCCTTTAGCTTTTTGTTTTCTGGGAAGCTCTTTATCTCTCCTTCAATTTTAAATGACAGCCTTGCTGCGTAGAGAAGTCTTAGTTGTAGGCCCTTGTTTTTCATCCCTGTGGATATTTCCTGCCACTCCCTTCTGGCCTGCAAAGTTTCTGTTGAGAATTCAGCTGACAATCTTATTGGAATGCCATTATAAGTTACTAGTTGCTCTTCTCTTGCTGCTTTTAGGATTCTCTCTTTCTCGTTAACCTTTGCCATCTTAACTATGATGTGTTTTGGTGTGGGTTTATTTAGGTTCATCTTGTTTGGGACTTTCTGTATTTCCTGGGCTTGTGTATCTGTTTCCTTCACCAGATTGGGGAAGTTTTTGGTCATTCTTTTTTTCAAATAGGTTATCAATCCCTTGCTCCCTCTCTCTCCTTCTGGTACTCCTATGAAGCAAATATAATTATGTTCTATATTGTTCCACAAGTCCCTTAAACTATCTTCATTGGTTTTTATTCTTTTTTTTCTTTTTCTTGTTCCAATTGGGTTTATTCTGCTACTTTGTCTTCTAAGTTGCAGATTTGCTCCTCTGCTTCATCTAATCTGCTGTTGAGTCCTTCTAGTGTATTCTTCATTTCAGTTATTGTATTCTTTATTTCTGACTGTTTCTTTTGCATGGTTTCTATGTCTTTCTTTATGCTTGCTATCTCTTTGTTGAAATTCTCACTAAGTTCCTTAAGGATTCTTAAATCAGTATTTTAAACTCTGTCTCTGGTAGGTTGGTTGCCTCCATTTCATTTAGTTCCATTTCTGGAGGTTTCTCCTGTTCTTTTATTTGGGGTATGTTTCTTTATTTCCTCATTTAGGCTACCACTCTGTGTTTGCTTCTATGTATTAGGTAGATCTCCTATGTCTCTCAGTCTTTCCTGGGTGGCCTTAGGGTTAGGGTAAGTGTCCTATGTGGTCCAATGATGCAGTCTCCCTGATCTCCTGTGTGTGTGTTCCAGAAATGTCCCTTGAGTGTTTTGTGTGTGTTCTTCTGTTGTATTTGAACCTTGATTGCTTTTGTCACATCAGTGGGTGGAATTGACTCCCACACTGGCTAACTGTGAGGATTGGCTACACCCATAGTGTATGAGCTGCTGTGTGGGGGCTGACCTCTCAGAGAAAGCTTTGCCTTTGCAGGTTCTTGTGCCTGTTGAGACCCCACTTTGTGTGTGTCCACTGTTGGTCTAACCAAGTAGTGCTCTGGGATGGCCTGAAGCTTGTCTTTGGGTATGTTATTTCTGGTGTCTCTTGGGCGGGGCTCCCATGCAGGCAAATTTCAACTTTGCTTGTTACCAGCCCATGGCTACCTGGTAGAAGCCTCAAAGCTATATGTGGGTGGTGGCTGCCTGTGCAGGATCTGGAGTCATGCAATCGTGCCCTCGCTGTGAACTGAGGTTGTCTGCCACCACTACTGGGCCTGAGGCTGTTTAGCAAAAGGCTTAGGGCCCCCTAGCCTATTGCCACCTGCCAGCTGCCCATAAATTTCAGCCATTGAAAGAGCCTCTTTAGGTGTGCATGCCAGGCTGATTTACCTGGTGTTGAGATTGCCCTCCAGATTGCCCTTGGTGATGCAGCACTAGCTGGGTGGATTGGAGTTCAAGGGAGTCATGAGACATTACTGGAGGTTTTTACAAAGCTAATGCAGATTCAGTTCTTAGGCCAGTGCTGGTCTGTGACCACCTTGCACAGCACCCCGAAAACACCACAGCCATCCACTGCCTCAGGCTCACAAATTCCCCAGAGCTGCTCCAGAGTGATGTGATGTAGTTTGGGGTCACTATCCTTCAACAAAATCTTCCTTGGCCATTGTGTATTGTCCCCTGCTGTAAAAGACCTCTGTGATTTGTGGAGTGGGGCTGGCCACCCAGGCAGCCAGAGTGCCCCTAGCAATGCAGGTGGGCATGGTGGGGTTCCAAGTAGCTAATGGATGTTGTCAGTGGTTTCTATAAAGTCAATGCAGTCTTAGCTTGTACATTGGTGCTGAGCCCATGGCCACTCTGCAAACATGCCTCGAGAACACTATGGCCAGCCCCCACCCATCTACACAGGGACACAGGTCTTGGGTTACTGCCCACGAGCAGATATATCCTAGGCCACCACAGGCCCTCTGCCTACTTTAATCCACAGCCTGTGGGCAGGACAAGCAGCCTAGCAGTCAAGAGTTTCCTGGGCAATGTAGCCCCAGCTGTGCAGAGGGCATGGACTCAAGGCATCACCAAGGCATTGCACACATGTGGATTCCACCAGACCAGTGTGGTACCAGACTTGGCCCTTTGTGTGTGGGCTTAACCCTGAAAAAATAGTACTTTCCTGTAAGCCACACATGTGTCGTCAGGCACCACAGCAGAACAATAACAGCTTCTGTTCCTCCAGCTGTCATGCAGAAGCCACGCAATTCACTCCTTCCCCACATGTCCTTGGGCCTTCTGAGGTGCCACCTCCTCCACTAGAGATCAGGTGAATACCCACAAGCGAGCGAGTCTGTGTGCTGGCTCTACAAGAGGGCATCTGGGTTTCCAGCTGCCTTCCACCCCACCAGGAAGGGCAGATAGAATCCTAGCTGATTTTCACTGCCAGAAGCCATGGGAACTCCTCTTCCAAGCACAGGACTCCTGGGCTGGGGAGCCCAATGTGGGGCTAGGAGCCACTCCCTCTTCAGGGGGGACCTCTGCCACTGAGGTGTCCTCCCGGTGTTCCAACTCTATTGGTAGGTTTGGGGTCATCCTGTTTCATGTCTCTGCCCTCCTACCAGTCTTGATATGGCCTCTTGTTTATATCCTTAGTTATAGGGGTTCTGTTCAGCTAGTGTTCAGATCATTCTTGAGGTTGATTTTTCTATAATTTGTTTGTAATTTTGGTGTGATCCTGGGATGCAGTAAGCATAGTGTTTACCTAATGCACCATCTTGGACCTCTTTCAGGACGATCCATAGGTGACCACTTTTAATATTTTGGTGCACATCTGTTCAGAATTTTCTGTATATATAAAATATATATACACATATTTTTTACTATAAGATAAGCATGGTATAAAATTTTTTTGCACTTTGCTTTTTATGAAACCTAACTATATATCATAACCATTTTCCCATGTCAGCACATATAGATCTACTTTGTTCCCACTGTACAGTAGTCTATTGTATATTTCTATCATAATAAATTTTTCCAATTCCTTATTATTGGGCATTTAGTTTGTTCCCCCAACCCTTTTATTATTATTACTATTATTATTATTATTATTATTATTATTACAAAATAGGTTTTGGTGAAAGTCCTGTATCTCTGTCTTTTGGGGTTTGTTGTTACAATTTCCAAATTGCCCTCTTAGAAGTGTTTATGTGTGTTTCCCATTACCCTTGCCACCTCTGGATGTTACTTTTCAAACCCTAGCAATGGTCTTTCATTCAGTGAGTATTAATAGTGGTGATGAAGTTAGACTTTCTATGTAAGTTGCCTGAATAAACTCCACTTGATCATTCAAAAGCTTTAGCTGTTTTCTATATTCCTGGGGTCTAATCACCCTCCCCTTGCCTTCCATGTTTTTCAGTTACGACAGTGGCCTGACTCATATGCAAAGAAGTTTGAGCACAGAATCTACCCCATCACATTTTCAGTTGGAAACCCTCAGGAATGGAAGAAATTATTCAAACCCTGTGCTGCCCAGAGACTCTTTCTTCCGGTAGGAACACCAGTTTTTAGTAAGATGCTGCTTAGGAGAGAATTGCTCCTGGCAATGTGGTGAAATTTACTGGGGTATATTTAGAGACACTTTACTTACAGCTAAAAATGTGTTTCTCTTGGATTCTGTAGTTAATGCTGTTAGTTTTCAGAGTGTAGGGATAGGGTCCCTGTGTTAGAAAGGTTTTCTTTCCCAAAAATAAAGGGACTGAGAGCATCCAATGCATGTTTTGTATTATGGGTCTTTGTGACTATGGTTCCACCATTTACTAGCTGTGTAAACCTCAGAAAATGTTCCAATTTCTCTACACCTCAATTTCCTGTATTTGCTTTGCACATAATTTACCCTAAATAAATATTAAGTTTGATTATTATTATTTGTCTTATAACAATAACAACTACTACATGTAGCCGTGCTAGAGAGTAATTCAGAGAAGGTCTAGAGTTTTGGTTCAGGCTTTCAGTTTTGAATTTTTTTTTCCCTGAGCCATCCTGCCACCTGTTGGCAGTTCAGTGGCAGCTCAGCTTGGGCCAGGAATCAAGTCAGCAACCTGTTGCTCAGAGCTCACACTCTTGAATGAGCTCTTAACCAACTGAGCCACTTGGCTAGCCCCTGGTTTTGAATTTTTAAATTTAATATTTTAATTTCATTTTTTAAATCCTAAATAGAAAAATCGTTGAATGTACAAAACTGATAATATCATTGAGCCAAGATGGCAACTTTGAATTGTAGCCTTGATGTTTGTGAGGGATTTGTGCCTCAGCAAACATTTATTGAGTGCCCATTAGGTGCTAAGTTCTGGCTTAGTGATGGTGATATGGCAGTGAACACAACAGGCACGGTCTTATCCTTTTGGAGTTTGAGCCCAGCAGGGCATTCAACAGGTAATTGGAAGTGTGATCCATGCTGAGGTGGAGAACAGAATCTCATTCATGGCACATAGTGTTCCACTCTGGTCTGATAGAGGTCATAGAAAGTTCTCTTGACGTATGGCATTTATGCTGAAACATGAATGAAGGAGAAGTAGGGATCACTGAGTGACAAGGGACTGGGGAATAATGAGAGAGAAAAGGGTCCCAGGCAGATGAAACAGTATGTACAAAGTCCCTGAGTCAGAAAGAAGCATAATTTGAGAAGATAAAACAAAACACAGTAACCAGAAAATAGAGTAAGGTGGGATTGAAGAAGTCAGCAGGGGCTGGAACTTTCTGGTTATGTAAACCATGTTTGAGCTTCTGCTGTCTGTGTTAAGGGTGGTGAGAAGCTATTGATTGATTTCTACCATGGAAGTGGGATAATCTTACTTGTGTTTTAAAGAGGACACACTGGTTCATTGCAGCATGGACAGTGGAATTGCTGAGGCCAATTAATAATGACCTGGGCTCTGATGGTTGTCTTAGAGATGGATTCAGAGCCTGCCTAAAAAGTAGAATGTACTAGTCCTCATGATTGGCTGGTTGTAAGAGTTGAAGGGAAGTGAGATAATAAGGATTTAACTCAGGTTTCTTATCTGAACAACTAAGGTTGATCTGTTTGAAATTGCCAATACTATTTATGACCTACAAAAAAGTCAATTTCTTATGGTTTAACCTACTAAGTGGATGGTGGTGCTATTTAGAGATGGAAAAGACTGGAGGAAGATCTGTTTTGGTAAGAGGAGGAGATGAGTTTAATGTGGGTAATATTTTGATTTTGAGGTACCTGGAAGACATCCACACAGGTAAGTCTTAACTATCTGTTGGTCTGAAACCCTAAGTGGCAGGTGGTACTTTTAGCATTTCCTACACAGAACCTGTGAGAAAAACAAGGCCTGTATGTAGTGTTAGTGCTGATCTGCTGCACAACCTCGCCCACTCATTAAAATCACCTATTTTTCACATGCCACATACCTTCATATAATGTTGTGAGATGGGATTAATTGCATAAAAATGGAGGTAAGAAAAGCTACTCAAATTGGCACTAAAATCTCTAGGTTGGCGATTTTAAAACTAATTACCACTTGAGAAGATGAGGAAAAAATGTCAGGTTTCTGCTTTTTGTCTTCATTTTAGGGGGGAAATGTATTATATAGCCAATGTTACTGCTGGAAAATTGTCTCCCCAACCTATCCAAAAAATATTAGCAACACATTTGAATTTTCCCCAACCTGGAATTGTACTTTATTGCCACTATTTTAAAAAAAACCCACAACATGATGGCTTTTATTCATCCAAGTTAAGTAAGTATTCGATTTTGAATATCAAATGGGTACTGGCATTCCTTATCTGCTTTTGGTAATGGAAACTAAGCTTTCCTTAAAAACAATAGAGATTGTGGTTGACATGACATTTACTTTCTCTGAATAATATGTCATAGCAGAAGTTTATAAACATGGAATTTTTGAACATCAGTGAGATATATTGATCCTCAATGTAATTTGAAATAAAGTTTAGGTCATGTTTTCCTTGAAATTCATCTCTATCAAACCAAATCAGGTGTGCTGCTGAGGCAACATAGAGAAGATGGAGATCCTAAAATGTAAACAGTCTATCAGGTTGTTAGTCAATTGACTGAGAACTGCAGTCTTACCCATTTTCTGAGGGGGTCTTATCTACCTTAAACCTGTAGAAGAAACCCTTTCTCTGGTAAGATTTTATTTTCAGAATAATCAGAGCAGAAGCCTTTCCAACTCAAGCCTATTAGATTTTCCAGTACAATTACTGAAATTTAGATCCCATCAATCCAAGATTTATGAAGTCCTAAAAATTGTGGACATTTACTTTTGTATATCTGTGAATAATGGTCTAAGAGCAGGACTATTATTAGTGCACACTAACCTTCAGATGGCTTGATTAAGCTCTCTAAGCTGCATACTGCTTTTAGTTAATTCAGAAACTTAAAGTATTTAAAACAATATGCCAATTACAAATAAATCAAAACTTCATTAAAATTGACCCTAGAAGACTTTTCTCTTCTCCCTTAGTAAAGGAAATAATTGAGTTTCATGAATTCACATCACCTTTCCCCCACTTAATAGAAATTAGTGAGATTTTATATTGGTGCTATACATTTTGTTACACATGGTACTTATTTGATTACAAAGACCTATGTCCTCAATAATGTGCTCCACTGGGGATCCTAGAGATATTTAAAATATGACAAAAACTACTGGATTGCAGAATCTTCAGATATTTTATTGTCATGTGGCACCCAAAATGGTAATATGAATTAGGTCAAGGCAATATACAGGCATCACCCAGGGAGAAAGTCTGTTTTAACCAAGTTTTAATAATTTCCAAGATTATCATAACTTGCTGCAAGCATCTACATTCAAGGAAGGAGTTAAGGAGAATATTGTCAAGAGAGACAGGATAAAATTGCTTACAGCATTGATCTATAAATCTGTCCTGAGAGTTTTCTAACTCAATTTATTTCTAGCACACTTGTTCCCATTCTTTAAAGGAGTACCATCCAAATAAATAAAAATCTTAGATTACCTAGATTTTTTTATATCACATCAAGGACAACAACATATAATCAATCTCCCTTTTTTCCACTTCTAGTTTGTTAAAGAGGTCTGGAACTGGTTTGAATGTTTGGAAAACTGTATACTTACCAGAGATATTGTAATGAGTTTGCCATAGGCTAACAGAAAAGGGAGGTTTACCTGACTTATTAGAACTTTTGTATAATTAAGGTCAGACCTCTGTATTGTTATTAATACTAAACCTCAACACTAACAATTTACATGGAAACTTTCTTGGAAACAACCCTTTGGATATCAACAAATATTGACTAGAAAATAGGAATATATTAAAAAGCCTTATTAAGAAGAATGTTAGTTAGAAACACCATAAATATGATGTCTATATATTTCGTCAAGCACCAAGAGGCCATAAATTATTGGGATGAGCTCAACTACCAAAAGGATCACATGAAAATAACCCTGGATATCAATTTTGTTAAACAAGCATTCCACAATACTAATTATTTACTCATACATTATAAAGGTTTCACATTCACAATATTAGTTTCAACTCTTGGTTACATGTGAGAGAAACTCAACTCCAACTAGCTAAGTAAAGAAGGGAATTTGTTGGTTTATCTGACTGTGAAATGCAGATGATATGGCTAATCCAGATGCTCCTATAATGTTCAAGCCTCTGTCTCATCCTCAGTCCCTTGAAAGACTTACTCCACGAGCATAATGATTGCTTGAAGCAGCCTAAGATCCAAATTCTAGAAGCTTAGCTACTGCAGCAGAAAAAGAGCATGGCGGGGTGGTGACATACAAATGTTTCCATAAGAAGCTCTTTGGAATTGCGCCCCAGTGAAACAAGCATAACTGGTGAAAAAAATTTTTTTCTTTTTTTTTTTTTTTTTTTTTTTTAGCTGAGCCATCCTGCCGCCTGTTGTCAGCTCAGCAGCAGCTCAGCTTGGGTTGGGAATCAAACTGCTAGTTGCTCAGAGCTCGCACTCTTGAGTGAGCTCTTAACCAACTGAGCCACTTGGCCAACCCAAAAATTATCTTTAAAATAATTATCTAGAGTCTTTTGTAATTGTCCTAAGGACCTGAGCAAAGGCCCATGAAGATACATGTTTCTTATTCAAGAAAATCTACTAAAACTCAGTAAAAAAGAAAGAGAATCTGTGACATTTGAACCACGACCTACTTCCTCCCTTTCCCCTTCCAGCTCAGCATGATGGAAACTCAACTCTAGACACTTCAGTGAAGAACACAGGGATCCTTTTCTCCACAGCTCCCAGTTAAGAGATATGGTATTTCCTTGGGGGAAGAGGGCAGGTCATCAGCATTTCTCATCTCTACCAGGTATGTGTTGCAGAGTTTAAATTCCAGACAAATGTGGCATAGGGTTCATGGACTCCCTTAATTAAGATGAAGCTGTTAACGTCATGAGAGCAATAAAGTAAGCAATAGGCCACTTAGTTCATAAGGGGAGAACCAGAAAAAGAGACATAAAAAGTACCCCCCCTGGTGTCAGAGCAAAGTTCAAAGACTG